AAAAGTCTGGGAAAAGAAAAAAAAAAAAAAAAAAAAAAAAAGAATGTCTACTCGTACGGACATCATCCACATCAAGAAACCCTCAAAGCAAAGCGTCCGGTCTACTGAGAGTGGCTACAGCAGTTTGGAGAGGAAAAATGTTGGGGTCAAAGTCAGAGCAGCTCAGAATCAAAACTTCGATTGCAGCGAGTTGAGCGAGACAGTGTTTGACGAGCATTACTCCGAGGATCCGCCGCTGGATGTGAAACCTGTTCTAACAGAAACCACTGCAGAGATCTCCACGGGTGATCAAGACGCAACTGCAGAGATCTTCACGGGCGACCATGACGCCAATGAGAAGCTGGTACAATCCAATGGCGAGAAAGCTAAAGTGAGTGATATTAAAATGGCTGCATTTGTGGTCATTGGTTGAATCATACTCACTATAATTATATACACAATGCATATAATATATATTTAAAAAAAAAAAATTTTAATCTGTTTAAATCCAAGGCATACGGGGGGAAAAAATCCTAATTTCATGTTGAATGTGGCATTTCTATTATTCTATTAACAAAATATAAAGTGCAATAAAAAAATCTTTTATGAAAAAAAAAGAGAAAAAAAAAGAAAATAAAGTAAGAAAAACATTGTGTTTTTGCAGCAAGTTTTTATGTTTAGTGACGTCATAAGGTTACGCGTTTTGTTAATATCCAATTGGAAAAGAAATATTGAAATATTTAGCCATTTAGCCACAGTTGCAGAAAGTTTTTGGAAATGCCTCAGTGGCGGACGTTAATATACTAGTATTTTGAATAAATTGTTTGCACCCAATTCCCAGTATGTAGTTTTATATTATGATTATAATTCTAGATGTGTAGCAATAAAACGAAGACGTTGAATATTCAAAGGAATGAGCTGAGGCCATCGTACCCTGCTTCACTTCATTCACATTACTATGGGTGCTGTTGAGTTCGGGGTGAAGCCATAAGAAATGGGAAACACGTGGCAGGGGAACATCTGAATGAAATACGAAACATAATTTGTGTGGTCTTCATCTTTTTTTTTTTGGAAGTCTTTCAGCCAAAACGTCCGCTGCTTAGTTTTATCATTTTCCGTCGCTGTCCCTAAAATGTCGTTGTCACTCTAAAAAAATGTCGTTGTCTTTAAAAATGTCGTTGTTATTAAATGTCGTTGTCACTAAAATGTCGTTGTAACTAAAATTTCATTGTTCCCTAAGTGCATGTCGTGACTTGTCTATGATTTTAAATGTTGATTAAAAAGACAGGATTTTTCTCACGCGGGATGAAGTAAACAGGCGCATGAGTATAATATCAAAGTACCTTGTCTTAGTTCATTTGTTAGGGACTTGAATGCATGGTGTGATTGCGTGTTGGTTTGAGATTATGTGTGTTGTTTTATCTGTTATTTTTAGTATCTTGTGACGTATTGTGTGAAAAGGGATATGACGTATTAGTATTGTAGATGGTTGTGGAGTGTTGTTCTTTGAGTACGGTAATGGCAGTTGAGGACTTAGTTTGATTAATAAAGATATTTCATACAAGAATTATAGTTGTGAAGTGTATATAATAAACCCCTAGACAACGAAGCCAAAAACCTATTTAGCAAGAAGAGGTTTGTAACATTTGGGATGCTCGTCCGGGATTGGGCGCCCATTGTGACTGCATACTGATGTATATGTGTGCTGCTGGTCCTGTGTCCCGCTGGGTTTGAATCCTGCTAAACCTACATCCTGCGACTACTACATGCTGCTCTACTGTATCCTGGTTTGACGTTAGGCCGCTGCCTGGTCTGTATCCTGCCTGGCCTGTATCCCACTGGGCCTGTATCCAGCGACCATCGTATGCTGCTGTGCTGTGTGGTTGCCGTATCCTGCTGGTTACCCTATCCTGCTGGCTGCCATGCCCTGTTGGTCGCCTTAACCTGCTTGTTGCCGACCCTGCTGGTTGCCGTACCCTGTGTTGCCGTATCCTGTGCGGTTGCCATATCCTGTGTGGTTGCCGTATCCTGTGTGGTTGTCGTATCTTGTGTGGTTGTCGTAACCTGCGTGGTTGCCGTATCCTGCTGGCCGCCCTACCCTGCTGGCCGCCCTACCCTGTTGGTCGCCGTACCCTGCTGTTGCCAACCCTGCTGGTTGCCGTATCCTGTGTTGCCGTATCCTGTGTGGTTGCCGTATCCTGCGTTTTGCCGTATCCTGTGGTTGCCGTATCCTGTGGTTGCCGTATCCTGTGGTGTTGCCGTATCCTGTGGCTGCCGTATCCAGTGTTGTTGCCTTATCCTGCTAGCTACCATACCCTGTTGGTCGCCTTACCCTGCTTGTTGCCGTATCCTGCTTGTTGCCGACACTGCTGTAACACTGACACTAGTGCTGTACCCGTGTTGAATGTACCCTACTGCGGTTGTACGCCTACGCAAGTCAGCTACGTTGGGACCCAAGATCAAGACCGGGTAATTAGTATAGTTTACATTTGTTGTTGTATAAGATTGATGTATTTTTTTTAACATTGCTACTACTATTGAGGGCTTTAAGATTATTTCAAAATGGAAACAAGGAGTGGGAATAAAAGTAGAGTGTTAGAGCTCAGGGAGGAGGCAGAGGCGATAGGCTATAAAGATGAAGCCATCACTCAGTGGATAGAAAAAAGGTTAAGCGAAGAAATAGAGAGGGAAGAACGGAACGTCAGCTGGAGAGGGAAGAACGGGAACGTGATAAACAACGTGCTCACGAGTTAGCAATGGCAAACAACACACTGTCCAGGAGTAGCGCAGCTCCAAGGTTAAGGGATACCAATAATATGGCAGACGATAAAGATTTAGAATCGTTTATCGTTCAGTTTGAGCTGCAAGCCAAAAGACAGGGAATCAATAAGGAAGAGTGGGCTGTTCTTTTGACTGAAAAATTAACTACTCGCTTTAAAAACTTTATGACAGATTCAAGACTAAATGACGAAACGGACTTTGACAACATTAAGAAAAAATTATTGACTCATGCAGGGTACAACGAGGAGAGTTACCGACTGAAATACCACAACTTAGTACCGGTAGACGACGATATCCGTAGTTTTGCCGTCAGAACTAAGGCCTCTTTAAAGTCCTGGGTAAACTACGCAGGGATCCCTGAAACTTTCGATGACCTATTGAACCTGTTGGTGGTTGACAGAATTAAAACTGTAGTTTCGAAAGAAGTACTGGGTAAACTAAATGAAGGAAAAAAACTCGACCTAGAAGAAAACTTACAAATCATTGACAATTATAAGAACATCCAACCCGGCGTCAAAGTTACTATGAAACATGACAGAGAATTCCCATACATCGCAGCGGGCTCAACGTTGCCGGGGAAAAATGTGAAGTTTAACCGTTCACCATCACCTCACAGGGAGAGACTCGCTTCGACTAGACAACATGACAGTAGGCTGGTACAATATTACAGATGTGGGGGAATGGGGCATATTTCTAACGTGTGTCCCACTGTCCCAAAGGATCCGGAAAAAACAAGCAGAAAACAGAACTATCGTGATAGTAGAGCCCACTACCCTGGTGATAGAATATGACTCCAACCAGTCAATAAGCACAAGCAACACTGTGGAGCGTGTAAAAACCTCCACATCAATAAAAGCCCCGTTTTCCCTTGCAAACCTGAATTTTTTTATAGCATAGTAGAAAATAAAATTAAAGATAAATCAGTGGGTACATTACGCCTGGAGGAAGGCTTGTTAAATGGCAAACGCGTAAAAGTCCTTAGAGATACAGGGTGCAGCATTATAGGGTGCAGGGCAAACTTGATTGATAAACATACAATCTTGCCTAGTTATTACACATTAAAACTGATCGACGGACAGGTCCGGCAATATCCCACAGCTTACGTTGAGATAGATACTCCCTATGTTAAAGGCACATTTGTGACAGCACTCTTTGATGACCCCGTTGCTGATTTAATAATAGGTAACGTAGATGACGCCCATACATTAGATGCCAACGCAGTCACAAGAGCCATGACAACTAAAGACTCGGTAGTTAAAGAAGAACCCCAGGATATGTTTATCACTGAGGATCCCAGTGTATTTGACCCCACATGCTTTGCAGTAGACCCAAAAAAATGACCAATCATTAGATAAATTCTGGGAAAAAGCCGAATCAGGAGAATGGCACGAAAAGAAAAGTGGGATATCGACTTTTATTGTCAGGAAAGGGCTTCTGTGTAAGCACTATGAAAAAAAGACAGGGCAAATACAAGAACAACTGGTAATTCCTGAAAATAGAAGGGACTTCATTCTCTCAAATGGACATTCGGGACTTCTAGCTGGACACATGTCCATAAACAAGACACGGGAAAGAATTTATGCTCAATTTTATTGGCCTGGGATAGATAGAGATATTAAAAATTACATAAAAACATGTGATATTTGTCAAAAGGCCAGTTAGCCAGGACAGAAAAAACCCGTAGAACTAGGGAAAATGAACATAATAACAACCCCATTTACTAAAGTCGCCTTTGACATAGTGTGTCCCATGCGATTGACAGCCAGAAAAAATAGAATTATCTTGACTCTAATTGACATTGCAACAAGATGGCCTGAGGCCGTCGCCTTAAAAGATACAACTGCTGAGACAATAATAGAGGCACTGGGCGTCATATTTTCTAGAATAGGCTTTCCAGAAGAGATATTATCCGATAATGGACCTCAATTTAAGTCTGAGATTTAAGCCCAGGTCACGAATTTCTTTGGCATTAAAAGAGTAAACTCGTCCCCATATCACCCTAGTTCGAATGGGTTAGTTGAAAGGTTCAATGGTTCACTTAAATCAATGCTGCGAAAACTGGCCGCAGAAGAACCCGAAAATTGGGATAGGTTTATAAGTTCAGCATTATTTGCACTGAGGGAGGTGCCTAATGAATCCACTAAGATTTCACCTTATGAAATGGTATATGGGCGTAAAGTACGAGGCCCAATGTCTATAATAAAGCATCTATTTACCGATGACTTTATAAAGGGAGAAACAAAGACCGTTTATCAATACCTACTAGATATAAGGCACAGACTTCAAAGGACAACAGAACTATCACTCTCCAGCAATGAAACCGCTAAAGTTAAAATGAAAACATATTACGACAAAAAGACCTCTTCTAAGATTTTCGATGTGGAGGACTACGTTCTGCTTCTGAAACCCAAAAGAAAAAACAAACTTGCTTTGTTCTGGGATGGACCATATAAAGTTACTCGGCGTACTTCAAAATTTAACGTTACCATTAAGAAAGGGATGTCCACAAAAACATATCATATTAACAGAGTGATGAAATATCACGACCGTCACAAAGAGGTACAACCAATGGAAGAGGAACACATGTTACACGGCTGCAACACATCCATCATTACGGAAGACGATTTCGATGACAACGACATAGACACAACAGGTGATTTGTTGACTTTACCGACGCCAAGTTACACAGATAAGGAAAAACTCAAACAAATTTCCATTAATCGTGATTTGTCACCACGTCAAACAGACGAGGTCACAAAGCTATTGGCTGAATTTGACGTGGTGATTTGTTGACTTTACCGACGCCAAGTTACACAGATAAGGAAAAACTCAAACAAATTTCCATTAATCGTGATTTGTCACCACGTCAAACAGACGAGGTCACAAAGCTATTGGCTGAATTTGACGACGTCATATCTGACATTCCAGGGAAGGCAAAAGTTGAAGAGTTTAACATAAGGGTCACATCAAACAAGCCGATAGTTTTGAAACAATACACCGTTCCATTACATTTAAGAGACAAGCTTGACCAAGAAGTGAAAAATATGTTAGAATTGGGGATCATTGAAGAAAGTACTTCACCATATGCCGCACCTGTGGTATTAGTTAAGAAAAAAGATGGTTCAATCCGTACCTGCGTAGACTATCGCAAACTTAACTTTATCACAGAATTCGATGCCGAAGTCATCCCTGACCCAGAAGATATTTTCTCAGCGTTACACGCAGCCACATATTTTTCTAAAATAGACCTTACGAAAGGATTCTGGCAGATCCCTGTATCTGAAAATAGTAAGCCTTATACGGCCTTCAGGGTACCATTAGGGCATTTTCAATTCCGTTATTTACCATTTGGCCTAAAAAACAGTCCCTCTATCTTTGCCAGAGTTATTAGAACACTTTTGAAAGACATCGACAATGTGGTTTCCTATTTTGATGACATATGTATTCACACTCAAACTTGGGAGGAACATATAGAAACCTTACATAAGGTTTTTATGAAACTAAGGGAGGCAGGATTTACGGCAAAACCTAACAAACTAGAACTTGGCTTCTCTAAAATTACCTTTTTAGGGCACAGTGTGGGAAAAGGGAATCAAGGACCTGATCTAGATAATATTGAGAAAATCCTCCAATTGAGTACCCCTAGGACTAAAAAGGAAGTGAGGAGTTTGTTGGGACTTATTAATTATTATAACAAATTTATTCCCAAATTTTCTGATATTGTACATCCTTTGACAAACCTTTTACGAAAAGGGGCACCTTCAAAAATTGATTGGTCCCCTAAATGCGATGGCGCCTTGAAAAGTATTCAGACACATTTGGCCAGTGAACCCATTCTTAAACTACCAGATCTTACAAAACCATTTACTCTCCAAACGGATGCCTCAAATATTGGTATTTCTTGTTGTTTGATGCAGAGGTTTGAAGGAATACTTCATCCCGTCAGATTTATGAGTCGAAAACTTTTAACGAGAGAGCAACGTTATTCTGTTATTGAGAGAGAGTGCCTGGCAATTGTATGGTCTGTACAGCGGCTCTCTAAATTTTTATATGGACAGGTCTTTGAACTTCTCTGTGATCATGCTGCAAGAGTACAGTTTCACTGTGCAGCATATCAAGGGTTCTGACAATTTTGCTGCAGACATGACATGCTATCTCGATTAGTTTAAGAAAACCTTCTACATGACCCATATTAGGCCCATTTGGGCATGGGACAAAAATTGTACATATATGTCATTAATTATTAATTATTGTTTTCTTGTTCATGAAAGTATTGGTGGTTGTATTATTTCATATGTGTTTAAAAAAAAACAAAAAAAAAAAAACTCTTATTATGTTATGAATGACATTAATATATTAATAATGAGCTTGTACGTCGTTGTTTGTTTTGAATTAATTTTCATGATAATAATATTATCAAATTATATTGTATTCTCTCTATGGAAAAATCAATTTAAATTATATTCCATAACTTTAAATGTATCATGTTTGGTTTTGTCTTTGTACATAGCACTGAGTAGAGTTGTGTACAGACACTATACTCCAGTGCCTGAGACAGGTGTTTTAACTAGTCAAGGCGGTATAGTGGAATCCTCGTGCAAGCTATCCTGGTGATGGTCTCAGAATTTAGTTACCGAGGCAGTATCTTTAGGACATAGCAATGTTTAGATGCTACTGTTTTGAACATGGCTAAGTAGGGGGGATGATTATGCGAACCACTGCGATATTGGGCGACGCTGGGATTTTGACAAGAGGGAAATTTGGATCTTGTCCGAGGTTCGAAAATATTGGGACCTGGACAGGCGACGATAATCACGACGTAGAGGTCATGAACTTGTCAAGGACATTCCTAAAACTGGGGGGGGGGCGTGTCGAGTCCATCTCCAACTCAGACAATTTTGCTGTGGCTAATGGTTTTTACTTAAGTTACATGGAGGAGGCTATTTTTTTCCCCATTGTTCGAGTTGGATGAGAGAAATTTTGTTTTCATAATGTACACGTGAAGATGATATATTATGTTTGGGAGCAGGAATTGCTCAGAACTAAATTGTATTTAAGGGTTTGACTTTGTTGAGTTGGGAGGTGATACTAACAATTTTATGTATGTTGCCAGATTGGTTAAACATTTTGGATTGGCAATGTGTTATAAGTCTGTTTGTAATACATGTCGCTTAATTGAAAATGTAATATTGCAATTGATTGGTTTACATTTGGTATTTACTCTTGTTAATTGTTTAATGTCTATTGACAAATTTTTTGGATATGTATTTGTGGGTGACATGAATTTTTCAAATTAATGTCAAAGGAAGCGGGGGGAGGAATGTTAGGGACTTGAGTGTATAGTGTGATGGCGTGTTGGTTTGAGATTATGTGGGTTGTTTTATCTGTTATTTTTAGTATCTTGTGACGTATTGTGTGAAAAGGGATATGACGTATTCGTATTGTAGATTATTGTGGAGTGTTGTTCTTTGAGTACGGTAATGGCAGTTGAGGACTTAGTTTGATTAATAAAGATATTTCATACAAGAATTATAGTTGTGAAGTGTATATAATAAACCCCTAGACAAGGAAGCAAACAAACCTATTAAGCAAGAAGAGGTTTGTAACAACATTGTCTTAGTAAAATTTAATTGTCTTAGTACCCTGTCTAAGAACATTTTCTTAGTACATTGTCTTAGTACGTTGTCGTAGTTTATTATCTTAGTACACTATTTTAGTACATTGTCTTAGTTACATTGTCTTGGTTACCTTGTCTTAGTTACCTTGTCTTGGTTACCTTGTCTTATTTACCTTGTCTTAGTTACCTTGTCTTAGTTTATACAACTATTGCAAAAATAGCAATGCAGATCCTTTAAAACTGTATTTAAAATATCATATTAAAATCTGTACTACACAAGGCTTGATAAGTTTCAGTTGAATATGAAAACAGTCCACGCCAAGAAGCGATGGAAAGCTGTTGTATAAGTCTCTATACTTGCATACATATTTTATGTTCTTCAGCCGGTAGTCGAGATAGAGGTTGAAGGATTACTTCCCAAGCCATCGCCCGAAGACGACGATGGCTGGACGGAAGATGAGGAAGACATTGACAAAGAACAGTCCCAAGGGCTTCTCCCCAGAATTATTTTATCGATTCGAAAGTTTTTTCTGACATGTCTGACATTAGTCTTGAAGAAAACAAAAGGCTATCTGGTGACGATTCTACTGCTGCTGGGATATTTAGCATACTTCATTGCTGCTATGTGTCACAGGTAAGGCTGTTGGGCACTATTATGTGTCACAGTAAGGCTTATGGACCCTATTATGAGTCACATTTAAGGATATTAGGCCATAACATGTGTCACATGTAAGGCTTTTGGGTCCTAATATGTGTCACGGTTAGGGCCTTTGGGCCCTAATATGTGTCACATGTAAGGCTTTTTGGGCCCTGATAGTGTCACAAGTGAGTCTTTTGGGCCCTAATATGTGTCAAAGGTAAGGGCTTTGTGCCCTAATATGTGTCCAGGATAAGGCTTTTGGGCCCTAATATGTATCACAGGAGTGGTTGTTTGATCTTAAAAGGGATAATTTGTTATTCTTTGTATGGATATTTCATGGTTTTCGGGCAATTTTTGAAAGTGCAAAACTTTGTTAAAATAACATTCTGTAAATACAAATGATAACTGAATTGTTAAAACAAATCATCAAGATGACACATTCATTTCAAGAGCTGCACTTACATTTAGGGATGATAATCTCAGAAATACAACGGGAAAAATAACTAGACTATAGCTTGGTTCCATTGCTCATTTAAAATTCCTTCTACCAGAAGTTGACGCTGCTATTTTTCAGCCCAGGGTATCCAAGCTTCTATTACATTTTCACACTCCGCGAATCTTTTGGCTCTCTCACCACCCTAAGCATTGTTTGACCCTCAAACCCCCTACGAAATTCTTAACTCTCACACCCACGACAAAATGCTTCTCTCTCACACTCACAACGAAATGCTTAACTCACACATCCCCTACCCATTGTTTGAATCGTATACTCCTTACAAGGGTAGCAATGAATTTTAAATTCAACAGAAAAAGACTTCTAGTTTTTATTGAATTAAAAACAATAATTCCACAGCCTAGCATAAATTATTTTTTAACCTAACACGCAAAGTAAAACGTTAATGAAGAACTACACGCTTTAGAAAAAGTCTATGCTATAACTTATGAGTCAATGGCTCCTTTGTTCTAATCATCATATTTCCTCAAATCTTCTGAAATGTCGTCTCAATCCCATGGGGTACGACCACCCCAGGTTCGGAAACCCTGATTTAGACAATATCTTAATGATCGTAAAATTAACTTTACAATACTTTATAGATTTATACATATATATTTATTAGGTTTGACGATGAAGGCTCACACAGATTGCTTGGTTGCACAATACTGGGTGTTGTCATAGCAACCAGAAGCTACATAAGATACGGTTTCAATGTCTTCCTGGAAAAGGTCACAGGGTCAAGTTCACTCACACCAGTGTGGAAAAAACGTGAAAACACAGCCAGATTCTTCTTGCGTTGGTCAGTACACTAGCAATTCTTCCCATTGAGATTAACATTGTGACTAACTGGGAGATTAACATGGGGACTACCTGGGAGTTTAACGCAGTGACTATCTGGGAGATTAACATTGTGACTACGTGGGAGATTAACCTAATGACTACCTGGGCGTTTAACTTAGTGCCAACCCTGGAGATTAAAAAAGTGACTGGTTTTTTTATACAGTTTTATAAATTATAAATAAATATGGCTTTACCGGTTGCAGTTTTTTCTTACACCGGGTCAAATTATTTTGAGAAAATACCCAGTGGGCCCAAGTGTTCCAAAAAATAGTTATATTTTCATTTTCTATAATATATATTTCTTCCTATAGACAACAGGCCATCAGAAAGTCCTGCACCCTCCTTTTGACCTTTCAACAGTAGTTCTATAGACAGTTTTACAGACAATCCTACGGAATACCGGTGGCTCTTGATTAATGTAATAGTCGCCTTTCCTGAAAGAAAGGAATTACAATATAAAACATGTGGAGGTTGTGGAAGGGTCAGTTTGAAGAGGAAGCAGGCCATACCAGAAGCAAAATGTCTATAAGAGATTGTTATTAATATCTTCTTCTTCTTTATTTTAAGGGCCCACGATCAATGAATTGATCATTCTGGCTCCAATATCTTATATATTTGATGAAGATTATTTTCAAAAGAGACCGCGATGTTAAATATTATTTGTGCTCGGTTAAAGTCTGTTTTTGACATCAGTCTTAAGTATAAAAAGTGTTGGGGTCGAAGTCAGTTTGGACATCAGTCTTAAGTATTAGCTGTGTTGGATTAAATTCTGTTTGGACATGTCTTAAGAATCAGATGTGCTTTGTTAAAAAATGTTTTGGACATCAGTCTTAAGTATTAGCTGTGGTGGGTAAAAGTCAGTTCCATCTGACGTCATTTCGTTCATTTAAAGAGGAATAAACATTTAAAGCCACATGTTTTGTTTAATGAACTGTACAGATTTACTCTTGACCCGTATATAATCTCTCATGGCTCTCTTTTCTCCTTACAATATTCGAACAAAAACAACACTTTTCAAGCAGTCTATTTTAACGTGTTCTTATTTTTTCTAATGTCATTATTTGTTAATCTTAACAATAACGATTCTTCAAGCTGCTCATTTCTCTAATAATTAATGAACTCTAGCGATTTTTTAGCTCAATTTATATTTTAGGTTTCAATAGCAACCACTTATCTCCCCAGTGAGAGTTTTTTCCAAATGCTTCTATGACCAAACCTTTACTTGTCTTATAGGCTCATGTACGGCGCTTGTACAGGGGTCATGGTCTGGGTGATCGTGGACAAGGCCATTAAAGAGCCCAACAACTTGAGATCCCTGCCTGGGATCGTCATCATTATGTTCATATGTCTGTGTTTCTCAACGGCCCCCAATAAGGTGAGGCTTATGTGGCTTAATGTCGACTTGATTAATGTCACTAATGTCACTAGTGACACATTGTCAGCTCAACATTTAATTACCGTACTTAATATGTCAAAGCCTTTAAGCTGATTTGTATGTTCCTCATAACATTATTCAATACCAAAAATGAAATTTTATTAAAGAAGTAAGCAGAATTTATTAGAGCAGCGGTTCTCAACCTGTGGATCGAGACCCCTTTGGGGTCGAATAACCCTTTCACATGTGTCGCCTAAGACCATCAGAAAACGCATATATATGAAGTAGAAAAGAAAATTTATTTTATGGTTGGGGTCACCACAACACAAGTAACTGTATTACATTTTTCGCGGCAGTAGGAAAGTTAAGAGCCATCGCCTTAAAGGATGTCGGACCACAGTTTGAAATTCCTAATGCTGTCGTATTTCAAAATAAAATATATAGAACTCTTTTTAAATCTCTTTTTACTGTTCATTATTTGAGTTTTACAACATCAAAACTTCTTAGTGACACTTAACACTTATCATCTACAGTTATGTCTTTAAAGACATTTTTTTAACCAAGGTTAAACACATGTGTGTACTAGGTTGGTTAATTCATCAAGTTCTTGTACACTTTGTAATACGCGGTATCAACTGAATCGACTCAAATCCCTTTTCATTATCAATGCAACATTAAATGTAAATTCACTGACTTTTAATTCTATATACACATGTTTGGCGCAGCTCACTAACGGAGATAAATAAAACACAACCTCCTTTCACACAAAGTTCCATTCACGACTTCCAAAACAGACTAGACAAAACTTCCCAATAAGCATACAAATTCGTCACCAAATCAAGTTGAAGAAAAGCGTTCACTAACTAATTAATCTTTCCAAAAGACATCGCGCATACTCAAACATCATAGCCGGTCGCAACAATCATTAAAAAAACTCACGTACTCGACAGTAATCTTATTTTCTTTTCCCAACTGAAGGTCAACTACCACACGATATTCTGGAGTGTCGGTCTTCAGTTTCTGCTCTCCCTTTTCATACTGAATTGGAAAACCGGTAAAGACGCCATCTGGTGGCTGCAGTCTAGGATAGACGAGTTCTTTCACAACTCCGAGGATGGTTCAAAACTTATGTTTGGACAAAATTACAAGGAACATTACATGATATTTGGGGTATGTTTCTTTGGCATTGTGAACAAATTACAAGGAACATTACATAATATTTGGGGTATGTTTCTTTGGCATTGTGAACAAATTACAAGGAACATTACATAATATTTGGGGTATGCTTCTTTGGCATTGTGAACAAATTACAAGGAACATTACATGATATTTGGGGTATGTTTCTTTGGCATTGTGAACAAATTACAAGGAACATTACATGATATTTGGGGTATGTTTCTTTGGCATTGTGAACAAATTACAAGGAACATTACATGATATTTGGGGTATGTTTCTTTGGCATTGTGAACAAATTACAAGGAACATTACATGATATTTGGGGTATGTTTCTTTGGCATTGTGGAGAAATTACAAGGAACATTACATGATATTTGGGGTATGTTTCTTTGGCATTGTGGAGAAATTACAATGAACATTACATGATATTTGGGGTATGTTTCTTTGGCAATGTGGAGAAATTACAAGGAACATTACATGATACTTGGGGTATGTTTCTTTGGCATTGTGAACAAATTACAAGGAACTTTACATGATATTTGGGGTATGTTTATTTGGCATTGTGAACAAATTACAAGGAACTTTACATGATTTGGGGTATGTTTCTTTGGCATTGTGAACAAACTACAAGGAACATTACATGATATTTGGGGTATGTTTATTTGGCATAGTGAACAAATTACAAGGAACATTACATGATATTTGGGGTATGTTTCTTTGGCATTGTGAACAGTTTTTTCTCTAGAGTTTGTGACATCCGGGGAGTGTCTACATATTTAACAGCCGTGAAGCACGAAAAGTACAAACATAAAAAAAAAACACATACAATTGAAGCAACATGTTGGAGCCTATTAAATGGGCTAGTTATGTATGTGAATGGATGAGTATTAAATGAATTACGGCGGGTACTAAATGTAACATGATGAGTACTTAATGTTATATTGTTGTCAAGGATCTTAAACAAATTGTATCGATTCGGCTATGAGTGCAGGGGGGCGATAAAGATGAAGAGGATGGCAGATACCTGAAGGTATTAAAGTGAAGAGACTGGCACATACCTTGACTCGACTTACCAGGTCACCAGTTCTAACGACACTTTTGTTTGTCTGTATCAGCTGCCAGGAAAAGGGGGGGGTGGCATGTGGCCACTTAAGGAAGTATCATATTTAATATAACGAAATTCCAGAACTTATAATTTAGCAGGTTTCATTGAAAAAAATTTGATCATCTCCTCCAGATGGACTATTGTCCGAAATTTTTAGAAATAAAAACTAAATAAAACACGGACAGTTTCCTGTAATACTTGAATGATATTTTAATCACGTCATGGTTTAATTTGTAAGTCCTGGATAAGTCTCATTCCCGGCAATAAGAACGTGATCATTAGAAATTTTTCAAAGCATACTCTTTTTTTCCAATGCAAATTTTGCTGAAGAATAAAATTATAACTTGGGGTCTGGACATAATTAAAGTATTTGTCATTGAAGTATCTATTTGTCATAAAAGTATTCGTCATAAGAGTATTTGTCATAAAATTGTTTGTGATTGAATGTAAATCTTTTATTTTCTTCGTCTGGCTAAAATTTTAAATCTGTCGCCGCAATGAATTCAAAATGTGAACTTAAAAATCTTTGATGGGTAATATATGGACATACAACTTACTGTGTCGAAGATAGAGACCGACCGAAAGTGATTTTCTGATTTCGGCCGAAGCCGAAAATAGGCCAAAAGTTTAAAATGACATTCGGCCTAAAATTTTAAGGTTGTTCAAGCGGAACATACGACATTTTGGGAGTACCTATCTGTGTGAATAGCTCTTTCCCACTATGCCCTTTAACAAGTCAAAGTTCAGGGCCATACTTACTGATGAGGATCTTCAAGCTATACTGAGGGTCTCAGTTGCTTCCTCACTCAAGCCAAAGCTGCTCATCCTGTGTAAAAAGAAGCGCTGCCAGGTCTCTGGCAACAGTGAGTAGGTGCAAGAAAGTAAATCCTAGTTCTTGAGAACCCTTAATGTTTTTATTGTTATTTATAAAGGTTGAGCAGATGGTAACAGTTGTAATCGCTTTTTTTTACCACCTGTGGCCCCCTTGAAAAATTGAGTTTGAGATCTTTGATCTAATGAATACTTTGGATTTTACCATTTTAATATAAAATAATTTAAATTGCTTTACAATTTTTTTTTAAACTAGTGTGGTAGGAGAAAAATTGGCAAAAATTTAGGGGGGGGCGGCAAAATTAATGCAAAAAAGACTCTTGAGAGCCTTTGCAGATCATTGCTGTTATAATGTAATTACAACCTAAAACATAGACCTAAAACAAATACTGTGGCTCTAATAGAGCCAACTGCCATCAAAATATATGTTATCGAGGCTATAAAAATATCACCACGATGTTTCGCTGTTTTCGTAATACTAATGCCTTGTGTTTTCATAAACAGCTTGCAAGATATCACTGTATTAATATTCAACCTAGTAACAACACACTAGTCTTTCCGTGCTGGTGACGTAATTATTTCGTTCGGAAACTAACCTCCCTCATCACATCGCTTTATTTGATTTTAAAGATCGCTTAGTTTGTTCTTAAAGATCATTTAGTTTGTTCTTAAAGATCGTTTAGTTTGTTTTTAAAGATCGGTGAGTTTGTTCATAAATATTGCTTAGTTTGTTTTAAAAATATCGCTTAGTTTAATCTTAAAGATCGCTTAATTTGTTCTTAAAGATCGTTTAGTTTGTTGTTAAAGATCGTTCTGTTTTTTGTTAATGATCGCTTTATTTGTTCTTAAAGATCGGTTAGTTTGTTCATAAAGATCGCCTGGTTTGTTGTTAAAGATCGTTTAGTCTGTTCTTAAAGATCGCTTAGTTTATTTTTAAAGATTGTTCAGTTTTTTTGTTAATGATCGCTTTATTTGTTCTTAAAGATTGGTTAGTTTGTTCATAAAGATTTATAGTATGTTGTTAAAAATCGTTTAGTCTGTTTTCAAAAATCACTGTTTGTTCATAACGATCGCTTAGTTTTTGTTTAAAGATCTTTTAGCTTGTTCTTAAAGATTGCTTACTTTGTTCTTAGAGATCATTGATTTTGTTCTTAAATATCGATAAGTTGTTCTTAAAGATCATTTTTTAAAATATATCTTTGAGTTTGTTCTTAAAGATCGCGTATTTTGTTTATGAAGATCGCTTTGTTTTTTCATAAAAATCGCTTAGTTTGTTTTTAAAGATATTTGATTTTGTTCCTCAATATCGATTAGTTTGTTCTTAAAGTTCTTTTGGTTTGTTCCTAAAGAACATTTATTTTTCTGTTAAAGATCACTTAGTTTATTCTTTTAAATCATTTAGTCTACTATTAAAGATCATTTGTTTTGTTCTTAAAGACCATTTAGTTCATTTTTAAAAATCGTTTGGTTTGTTTTTAAAGATCGTTTATTTTGTTCTTAAAGATCGCTTAGTTTGTTATAAAGATCGTTAAGTTTGTTCATAAATTTCGCTTAGTTTGTTGTTAGATATCGTTTAGTTAGTTCTCAAAGATCGCTTTATTTGTTCTTAAAGATCGCTTTATTTGTTTTAAAAGATCATTTAGTTTCTTCTTAAAGATAGCTTAATTTGTTCTTAAAGATCGTTTAGTTTTTTCTTAAATATCGTTTAGTTTGTTGTTAAATAATAGTTTCGCTAAGCATTAGATGACCGAAAAAGTCTAAGTCAATTTCGGCCGAAACCGAAAATAAACCGAAAATTAACTTTCTTCTTTAGCCCGGAACAGAAATTAAGCCGAAAGTTAACTTTTCAGTTTCGGCCGAAACCGAAACTTGGCCGAAAGTGACAAAATGGCCACTTTCGGAGCCGAAACCGAAGCCGAAGCCGAAATTCGGTCGGCATCTAGTCGAAAACTACCTGACATGATTCACCGAAATATATACCCAATAATTTATGAAAATACTCGTCTCTTTCAATGCAAGACATTTAGCACATTTATAAGAAGTAATTATTTGAAGGAAAATAATTACTGATTTTTTTTTTTTAAATGAGTTTTTCCGGTTACTTTATACGTTTTTTCTTTAAGACTATAAGTATTGAGTATTTCCCGTCATTTTTTTCATGGGTATGTGCTAGAATAACATACCATGTCATTATTGCAATTTATTATCTTACTTTGTTCCCAAGCTTATCATTTATAAACTATTTATTCGCATTAAACCTTTGTTCCCCCATTCAGGCGATGCCTCTGCTTTTCTTCACCAACGGGATGATGACGCTGCTGTACTACTGTGGCGTCATGCAGTTCATCGTCACGGTTTTCGGGAATTTCCTCAACTTCATCCTCGACGCGTCACCTGTTGAATCCATGGTCGTAGCTGCTGGGACCTTCATGGAAGGGGTAAGACGAACAGATTCACTTTCTTTTGATAAGCGTCAGATTAAGTTTACGAGCTAAAATATGAAACGTGACCCATCAAGATGAGGAGAATAAAAAAAAATGTTTTTTTTTTGCAACAGAAGTGATGTCACCTGAGTACATTTTGAAAATTCCTTTAATTTCATTTCTTTAACAAAGACTTTGAAATGCGGATCATTTTGTAAATCTCCACATTTCCTAGCAATTTTAAAGCTGCTAAATGATTGGTATGAAGGAGAAATAGGGGGAAAAAATTAATGCAGATATGAATGAAGAAACGTGTGACAAAATCATAAGGGGTTGGGGAGGGGAGGCAAAAGTGATAAGGGATACCGTTCACATGGTTCCTGTTTGTTCACATGGTTCCTGTTTGTTCATATGGTTCCTTTTCGTTTACATTGTTCCTGTTTGTTCACATTATTCAGGACTGTTCACATTATTCCTGTTTGAATCCCATTATTCATGTTTTTTCGCAATATTCCTGTTTTTTTCCCAGTATTTCTGTTTGTTCCCATTATTCCTGTTTGTTAAAAAAAAACTGTTACAGTTATAAAATAATTTTAAAAAGTGTAAATTTGTTTTTTTGTGTGTAGCATATTAACCTTTGAAAATCTCTCATCCTTCTCCCATAGGGCTAGATCTTAACCTTCTCCCATACGGCTAGATCTCACTCTTCTCCCATTTGGCTAGATCTCCTTCTTCTCCCATAGAAACAGATCTCATCCTCCTCCCATACGGTTAGATCACATCCTTCTCCCCTAGTGCTAGATCTCATCCTTTTCCCATAAGGCTAGATCCTAACCTTTCCCATATGGCTAGATCTCAACCTTTCCCGTAGGGCTATATCTCATCCTTCTCCCATACGGCTAGATCTCATCCTTTTCCCCATAGGATTAGATCTCATCTTTCTCCCATACGGCTAGATCTTTCTCCCATAAGGGCTAGGTCTTATCATTTTTCAATACGATTAGAGTCATCCTTCTGCCGTAAGGCTTGAGTACATACATACTAGAGCTGCGCATGATTAGCCACATCAGGCCCTTCCTAACAATTGATGCAACAAAGAGGCTGATGTCTGCATTTGTGCTATCACGCATGGACTATTGCAATTCTCTCATGGTGGGTCTTCCAGCTATGCTCCTTGATAAAATTCAGATAGCACAGAATAATGCGGCTCGAATTGTTCTCCGCAAAAGCAAGTTCGACCATGCAAAAACACTTCTGAGAGAGTTGCATTGGCTGCCGGTGCGTGCTCGCATAGAGTACAAAATCGCAACTTTGTGCTACCGCTGTCTACATGGCCTGGCGCCGTCCTATCTGAAAGAGCTGCTGACGCCTTATGTACCCACTAGACAACTCCGCTCATCCGACAGTGGCAAACTCTTGACACCACGTGTTCGCCTTGAGACTTGCGGAAAGCGCACTTTCGCATTTGCTGGTCCAACAATTTGGAACGCCCTTCCACTCGATCTCAGAAACATCCAGACACTGGAGTCCTTTAAAACCGATTTAAAGACACATTTATTTCGCAAACACCTTCTGGGATGATTGTCTACCATATTTTCCATTTAATGCATATTAGCTGTGTTGCTCACGGTTGAAATGGGTTGAAAGACTTTGACATTGTATGCTTGTAATTAGTTTTTGTAGTGTTGCGTTTGTTTTAAATGTGGTAAATTATAGATTTGTTTTTTAATGACTTTGTACCGCGCTTCGAGCCTTTGGGGATGAAGCGTGTTTTTGAAATGAACTTTATTATTATTATTATTACTTTTTCCAACTGGACTAGAGGTGGTCTTTCTGCCATAAAAATTAAAGTAGGAACACTGACCTTACCCAAATCTTGGCTCTACTCCATGAAGAGGACCAGGTAACCATTATTACATGTAGCATAGTGAATGTCAGCTTGTATATTTCATCAGTTCACGGCGCTGACAGCGTTTCGGCCTTATCTGAAGTCGCTGACAAAGTCGCAGTTGTTCCTAGTGATCACGTCTTGCTTTTCTTCCATTGGGAGCGCCTTCTTGGCCATTTTCGCACAGATGGGGGTAAGTTAGCTATAATTTCTTGGCCATTTGATCACAGATGGGGGAAGTTTGATGCTGTTTCTTTATTTATAAGGCCGGTTATCAAATATAAAAAAAATTATTCTGTCTTTTCTTTATCTAATATTTTATAAAACATTTGAGTTTACATTTTAATTATAGTCAAGGATTTTCATAAAAACTTAAGTTAATGTGGGCTTAAGATGTGTCTGATGTCATCATTTCAATGTTTTCTATGTAAATATTCACATTAGCTTTTGTGATGGTGTATTTTTTGTATTCTTACGGTAGCAACTAAGTCTAAACATATGTTTTATTTAAAGTATTTTATGATAAAAACTGAGTACGTACATGTGTTTTATCTTATGTATTTTTACGGTAATAACTGAGTCTCACAAATAGGTTTTGATCAACCGTTAATGAGATATTGTTGTTTTTTTATTCACATAAATTAAAATGATTTTTTTAAATTACAAAGCATACATTCATTTTCAGCACATTCATAAATATTCTTACATATTTTAACTATAACAATTTAACACAAGACATCTAAAGTAATTCTCAAGTGCAAAAATCACCCGTCCCGTGTCATGGAACTTCAACCAATGAGTGACAGTGTTGACTTTAAGAGGGATTATTTAGATTTGTTCCAGCCGGGGGGTGCTCACTGAAAAATTCTTATAGATTGGCGAACAAAGGAATCTTTAAATCTTTCGTTCCTCCTTACTTTAATGGAAAGAATTCGACACGATCGAACTGATCTTAGGTATCTGTGATGAAGTGGGTAGGATGTATAAGACTGCATTTTATTTAGTTTGACAAATGCAAAGTGGTTCAAATAGTTCTTATTAATAAGAACGCTAATATTTATATCTATTTCGAAACACTGGAACACCTTCCAAATTCTCAACTCTAAATTTATACACCCTCAAAATCTTTATATTTATACAGGCTCAACACCTCTATATTTACACAGACTTAACAGATCTATATTTATACAGGCTCAACAACTCCATTTATACAGGCTAAACAACTCTATATTTATATATATAGGTTAAAACTCCCAACAAAATAAAATGTTAATCCTCAATTTTTCAGATGCCCATTGAGCTTATTTTAGGAGCAATGCTGATCTCCGCCCCTGCTACATTTACCATCTGTAAGCTCATGTTTCCAGAGACTAGTAAAAGGAAACACGTCAAAATTTTGGATATCGGTAATGAAGAGAAAAGGTAAATTTGTGTATCTCGCCATCTTGTACTAAAAATGGCAACAGACCAATTTAATGAACACATAGCACGTCTTATCGTACAGCTGTCTGTACAAGCTTTAAAAAAAAAGGAATTCAAATTTAGCCTTTTCATCATTTTTTTAAACATTAGCAAAGGAATCATTTTGCGTCGTGTGATTCCTCTCTCATGATTTTTACATAATTTCTTTAATGGTTCAAATGTTGTCTTTGTCAGTTGGTCAACTGCTCAAAAAGTGCGTTCCTTTAGATCAGCGGTTCTCAACCTGTGGGTTGCGACCTTTTTAAAGGGTCGAACGACCCTTTCCCATGGGTCACCTAAGACCATCGGATAACAAATATATTCAGTTATGAAGTAGCAACAAAAATAATTTTATGGCTGGGGTTCGCCAAAACACGAGGAGCAGTGTTAAAGGGGTAGCGGCATTAGGAAGGTTGAGAACCACTGATTTGATGGAAAGCTTACATCATGATAAATAGTTTTATTTTTAAAAAGTATTACGTTTTCTTAGATTTGTTCCATTATTAACCATTTACCATAAGATGAGAATAAGATTCTTAATGGATGCAATAAAATGTTTTTAGATCACATCGTAGATATTCATTTTCAGCACATTGATAAATATATACATTTCAATTTTTAAAAAAGCACCAATTATTACCCTTTAAACACCGAGACATCTAAAGTATTTATTTGGCCAAAGTATTTGTCTATACTTTAATCATAAATATAGATTTTTTTCCTTCTCCAATTTGGAAACGGAATTCACTGAAAGATTGAAAACTATTTAATCAATGATCACGTATCTTATTTCATTAAATATCTGCATTAACATTTAGATTTTAAATAACTTTACAGCAATATTTTATATTGTTCATGTCAATGCCACCCTTAGACATATCACTGTCACACCTAGATGTAAACGGTATGTCCTTTCTTATGACTCTAAATAATAAGTCTGTCAACATGTCACAAATATTTATTGATAATAATACATTACTTCTTCCAGCAAGTACGCCAATTGGCTGGACGCCTTCCAGGAGGGGTCGGTCGCAATGCTTGCCGTGGTTGGTAACATTGTGGTCAGCGGCTTCGCGTTTGTCTGTCTCATATCGTGGGTCAACAACACACTGGCCTGGTTCGGAGACCGAGTCGGTATAAACAAACTCTCCATTGAGGTAGGCGTCTGTTGAAACTTAATGAAAGGATGATAGAACGGCTGGACTAGAAAATATAGAGATAGGCCAAAAGGATATAAAGATAAGCCCTTTTGATAATTATAAGCCAGAAGAAGTAGATGATATCTTCCTAATTTTTATATGTAGGAGTCTCAATCAAAAGAATCATTTATTTTATATTCAATTCGTTTCGTTTAAAATACAATTCGAGATAGCATTAAGGTTTTTATTGTAGAATTTACTATTCTTTAAAACTTGATTGTTTAATTTTCTTTACTTTAAAAAAAAAAAACAGAATAATAGCCGCTTCCTATTATTGCACGTTAATCTGGACAAGAGCAAAACAATGTTCTATAGCTGAAAGAAACTTGAAAAGTTTGTGATCTAGCCATAGAGAAATAAAAGAAAAGTGTTCAGTTTGTATTAAATTTACATAGCAATCTTGTCTCTGTTCATTTATCCGACAGCTGATATCTTCTTATCTCTTGTATCCGGTTCCTCTTGCCATGGGCGTGGCTCCAGAAGACTGCCGAAGGGTTGCAATGTTATACGGTTACCGGCTTGGCAGCTCCAATATTATTGCATTTTTGAAGGTACTATTTGTATCCTAGGTGCAAAAATGTGTAACTTACGGGTTAAAGGTGGGGGGGGGGGGATTAATTGAAATATTTTATTTTGCATTTTATTTTTTTTTTTAAACATCAGCCTTTCTTATAAAACCTCATCATTTTAAAAATAACAATTATAAAACTGTAAAAAATATTGCTGGTATCAATCAAGACCCATGTTACAAAAACTGATGTAGAAAGACCAACGTCACAAAGACCAATGTCACAACGACCAATGTCACAAAGACCAATATCATAAAGACCAATGTCAGAACAACTATGTTACAACGACCAATGTCACAAAGACCAAGGTCACAATGTAACAAAGACCAACGTCACAAAGACCAATGTCACAAAGACCAATGTCACAATTACCAATGTCACAACGACCAATGTCACAACGACCAATGTCACAAAGACCAATGTCACAACGACCAATGTCACAACGACCAATGTTACAACGACCAATGTCACAAAGACCAACTCCACAATGTCACAAAGACCAACGTCACAAAGACCAATGTCACAAAGACCAATGTCACAACGACCAATTTCACAAAGACCAATGTCAAAAAGACCAATGTCACAACGAGCAATGTCACAAAGACCAATTTCACAAAGACCAACGTCACAAAGACCAATGTCACAAAGACCAATGTCACAAATACCAATCTCACGAAGAGCAACGTCACAAAGAACAATCTCAACAAATTCGAAAAGTGAATTCATCCTACATTGTCACCCTCGGCTTCAGCCGGAAATATCAGATGTAAACGTCCACCTCAGTGGTGTGGCCTTTACTTCCTTGTTGAAATAGCTTTGTAAGGCCTTCGCCGTGGCAAACAGGCGCTGCGCCCATTGACTGAGCCCAAATTGAGGGGCCCTTTTAACACAAAGTGTGTGCTGATACGAATATTTTCCGATTAAAAGTGATCATTGTGGCGACCTCTGAAGATGGAGCTCGTGGTGGATGCCCTCCTTAACACCCTCCTTCGCCTCAGTCACCCCCACCCCACACACACACACTTTTTCTTTAGTTATACACACCAAGATCCAGCAAAGTCCTGGCTTACAGATGCCAAGCTTGCACGTTGCACGTTGTTTGAGACATTTTACAAGTAATGGAACCCTTGGTAGGATAAAAAAGGCTCTCTTGAAACGGCATTTGTCGAGACAGTCTTCCAGTATTTGATCTAACTTAAATAGGTTTTTTTGGTCATACAATCATATAAACTCCATATGCACGTTTTACAATCGAACTTTAGATGGACGTTTGTTGTAGAACATTATATTGAAGTATGCTGTAAAACTTCAGATAGACCTGTATTGTAGAAAATCAGAAATGCGTCTTTTGTAGAGCTTCAGATCGACGTCTATTGTAGAACATCATATATGAGTCTTTCGCAGAACTTAACATAGACGTCTATTGTAGAGATTTGAGCTATTTGAAAAATGTTGGCCATTGAAGTGACTCGATGGCCACAGGTGTGGCTAACAACAACAACCAGCCTTGTCCTACCTATATCATGCAAAAATTGTTATGTTTTTGACCAGCTTGCAGAGGTGAGGAACAACAGATTGAAATACGTCGACTACATGCTAAAGACGGGCGGGAACGGCACGGTGACCTACGTGAACGATGACGTCATTCTTGACCAGTGGGGAGAAACTCTTCCGTTTGGATTCATCTCAGTAAGCTTCAATTAATATCATTTAACTTCACTTTAATCTCAGTTAACTTCACTTAATCTCGGTTAACTTCACTTGATCTCAGATAAATTCACTTGATCGCGGTTAACTTCACTTAATCTCAGTTAACTTCACTTTATCTCAGTTAACTTCACTTGATCTCAGTTAACTTCACTTGATCTCAGTTAACTTCACTTGATCTCAGTTAACTTCAGTTGATCTCAGTTAACTTCACTTAATCTCAGTTAACTTCACTTAATCTCAGTTAACTTCACTTGATCTCAGTTAACTTCAGTTGATCTCAGTTGGCTTCACTTAATCTCAGTTAACTTCACTAGATCTCAGTTAACTTCACTTGATCTCAGTTAAATCCACTTGATCTCAGTTAACTTCACTTAATCTCAGTTAACTTCACTAGATCTCAGTTAACTTCACTAGATCTCAGTTAACTTCACTTGATCTCATTGAACTTCATTGGTCCTATCTGAAAGAGCTGCTGACGCCTTATGTACCCAGTAGAGAGCTCCGCTCATCCGATAGTGGCAAACTCTCGACACCACGTGTTTGCCTTGAGACTTACGGAAAGCGCACTTTCGCATTTGCTGGTCCAACAATTTGGAACGCCCTTCCTGTCGATCTTAGAAACAACCAGACACTGGAGTCCTTTAAAACAGATCTAAAGACACATCTATTTCGCAAATACCTTCTGGGATGATTGTCTACCTTATTTTCCATGTGTTGCTGTGTTGCTCCGGGTTGAAATGGCTAGAAAGACTTTGATATTGTATGCTTGTAATTAGTTTTTGTAGTGTTGTGTTTGTTTTAAATGCGGTGAATTATAGATATGTTTTTTGTTGACTTTGTACCGCGCTTCGAGCCTTTGGGGATGAAGCGTGTTTTTTAAATGAACTTTATTATTATTATTATTATCTCCATAGATTTTACTTAGTCCCACTATTGTTTATTTATCTTACATAATGTTTACTTTACCCCAGTAATGTTTTACCGTATCTCACTAAAGTGTATTTTAACTCACAAAGATTAATTTATTTTTTTAGTAAAGTTTCATTTATGAATTTCAATATTATTTAACGTTGCCATACACACAGCCTTGTATCCCTCTATATCGAGAAGAATAAGCCATTTAGAGCTAGATAATATATAGCTACTATGTCCTAGACATCTTTATCATTTCTCTCTACCGTTCTTACCACGTATTTATAAATTGTATGAAATTAGTAGTGACCTGATCGCAGACGAACAGCATAAGCGTGGGGTTAGGACTAGGAATGATCGGGGTACTAATCCGAATACCCGGAAACAGCGGGTATTAGCAAAACCGGTACATACCCGGAATAATTATTGACCCACTTCTCGTCCTGCTATCGAGCGGAAACTTTGCACATAGAAGAGTTGCCGCTGACAATACAATCTGTCAAGTGTTCAGCCCCCAACTCTCAGTTTTGCTGGTTTCTTTTCCAATGGGAAGGCATGTTAGTGGTTTGTTCAATGGTTGCGTGTTTTGATGTGGAGATTAATTGTGTAGCTGTTGCTGTGTGTTTGTTTGTGTGACGTATTTGGGTTTAAATATATCTTTCGTCCATTAGGTTTTACACGTACTAACTTTTATGACAACCAATCCCATACCGAAAATCACTTGCTAAAATCACATAATAGATAATCAGGGTACAATTACATACATACAAAAAAAAACTATGGACATAATGGGTTGAAAAGAAAAGACTTTGCTCTTAGGTGTTGCTTCATTTAACTGCACATTAACCGGGGGCTTCTATAAGAAATAATCTCATAGTGTCAAGTTACTCTGGTGTTCCCGGTAATCAGTAGCTCATAGTTTCAATTTACTCTGGTGTTCCCAAGAATTAGTAGCTGATAGTGTCAATTTACTCTGGTGTTCCCGAGAATTAGTAGCTGATAGTGTCAAGTTACTCTGGTGTTCCCGGTAATCAGTAGCTCATAGTTTCAATTTACTCTGGTGTTCTCGAGAATTAGTAGCTGATAGTGTCAATTTACTCTGGTGTTCCCGGTAATCAGTAGCTCATAGTTTCAATTTACTCTGGTGTTCCCGAGAATTAGTAGCTGATAGTGTCAATTTACTCTGGTGTTCCCGGTAATCAGTAGCTCATAGTTTCAATTTACTCTGGTGTTCCCGAGAATTAGTAGCTGATAGTGTCAAGTTACTCTGGTGTTCCCGGTAATCAGTAGCTCATAGTTTCAATTTACTCTGGTGTTCCCGAGAATTATTACCTCATACTTTCAATTTACTCTGGTGTTCCCGGTAATGATTAGCTCATAGTTTCAATTTACTCTGGTGTTCCCGAGAATTAGTAGCTGATAGTGTCAATTTACTCTGGTGTTCACGGTATCAGTAGCTCATAGTTTCAATTTACTCTGGTGTTCTCGAGAATTAGTAGCTGATAGTGTCAAGTTACTCTGGTGTTCCCGGTAATGATTAGCTCATAGTGTCAATTCACTCTGGTGTTTAAGAGAATTAGTAGCTGATAGTGTCAATTTACTCTGATGTTCAAGGTAATCAGTAGCTCATAGTTTCAATTTACTCTAGTGTTCCTGAAAATCAGTAGCTGATAGTGTCAAGTTACTCTGGTGTTCCCGGTAATCAGTAGCTCATAGTTTCAATTTACTCTGGTGTTCCCGAGAATTAGTAGCTGATAGGGTCAAGTTACTCTGGTGTTCCCGGTAATCAGTAGCTCATAGTTTCAATTTACTCTGGTGTTTCCGAGAATTATAGTTGATAGTGTCAAGTTACTCTGGTGTTCCCGGTAATCAGTAGCTCATAGTTTCAATTTACTCTGGTGTTCCCGAGAATTAGTAGCTGATAGTGTCAAGTTACTCTGGTGTTCCCGGTAATCAGTAGCTCATAGTTTCAATTTACTCTGGTGTTCCCGAGAATTAGTAGCTGATAGTGTCAAGTTACTCTGGTGTTCCCGGTAATCAGTAGCTCATAGTTTCAATTTACTCTGGTGTTCCCGAGAATTAGTAGCTGATAGTGTCAAGTTACTCTGGTGTTCCCGGTAATCAGTAGCTCATAGTTTCAATTTACTCTGGTGTTCCCGAGAATTAGTAGCTGATAGTGTCAAGTTACTCTGGTGTTCCCGGTAATCAGTAGCTCATAGTTTCAATTTACTCTGGTGTTCCCGAGAATTAGTAGCTGATAGTGTCAAGTTACTCTGGTGTTCCCGGTAATCAGTAGCTCATAGTTTCAATTTACTCTGGTGTTCCCGAGAATTAGTAGCTGATAGTGTCAAGTTACTCTGGTGTTCCCGGTAATCAGT